TAGGAAAGGAAAAATCCAATACAGGATGTCTTCAACTTACAAGCCGACCTCAATGCATTGTTTAATTGGGCAACTATGTGGCAAATGAGGTTTAATGTTGATAAATGTAAGGTTCTGCACTTGGGGGCTAAGAATATGCATGCATCATACATACTAGGGGGGGTACAACTGGGGGAATCAATGGTGGAGAAGGATCTGGGGGTTCTGGTAGATCACAAGCTTAATAATGGCATGCAATGCCAAGCTGCGGTTTCTAAAGTGAGCAAAATCCTCTCTTGTATTAAAAGAAGTATAGACTCCAGAGAGAGAGATATCATATTACCCCGGTACAAATCATTAGTAAGACCTCATCTGGAATATGCAGTTCAGTTTTGGGCATCAATTCACAAAAAGAACATTGGGGAACTGGAGACAGTACAGAGAAGGGCAACCAAACTGATAAGAGTCATGGAGGAGATCAGCTATGAGGAAAGATTAGAGGAACTGAATTTATTCTCTCTTGAGAAGAGGAGATTAAGGGGGGATATGATCTCCATGTATAATACATAAGGGGGGATATGATCTCCATGTATAATACATAAGGGGGGATATGATCTCCATGTATAATACATAAGGGGGATATGATCTCCATGTATAATACATAAGGGGGGATATGATCTCCATGTATAATACATAAGGGGGGATATGATCTCCATGTATAATACATAAGGGGGGATATGATCTCCATGTATAATACATAAGGGGGGATATGATCTCCATGTATAATACATAAGGGGGGGATATGATCACCATGTATAATACATAAGGGGGGATATGATCTCCATGTATAATACATAAGGGGGGATATGATCTCCATGTATAATAATACATACAGGGGGGATATGATCTCCATGTATAATACATAAGGGGGATATGATCACCATGTATAATACATAAGGGGGGATATGATCTCCATGTATAATACATAAGGGGGGATATGATCACCATGTATAATACATAAGGGGGGATATGATCACCATGTATAATACATAAGGGGGGATATGATCTCCATGTATAATACATAAGGGGGATATGATCTCCATGTATAATACATAAGGGGGATATAATCTCCATGTATAATACATAAGGGGGGATATGATCACCATGTATAATACATAAGGGGGGATGTGATCACCATGTATAATACATACGGGGGGAAATGATCACCATGTATAATACATAAGGGGGGATATGATCTCCATGTATAATACATAAGGGGGGATATGATCTCCATGTATAATACATAAGGGGGGATATGATCTCCATGTATAATACATAGGGGGGGATATGATCGCCATGTATAATACATAAGGGGGGATATGATCTCCATGTATAATACATAAGGGGGGATATGATCACCATGTATAATACATAAGGGGGGGATATGATCTCCATGTAGAATACATAAGGGGGGATATGATCTCCATGTAGAATACATAAGGGGGGATATGATCTCCATGTATAATACATAAGGGGGGATATGATCACCATGTATAATACATAAGGGGGGATATGATCTCCATGTATAAATACATCAGTGGTTCATATAGTGAACTCAGTGTAGAGCTATTCACCCTGAGGTCATCACAGAGGACAAGGGGGTACTCTTTATATCTGGAGGAAAAGAAATTTAATCTCCAAACACGGAAAGGTTTCTTCACAGAGAGCTGTGAAAATGTGGAATAGACTCCCTCAAGAGTTGGTTCTGGCCAGCTCAGTGGATTGCTTTAAAAAAAAGTCCTGGATTATTTCTTAGATACACAGAATCCAGGGAATATCCAATTGCCTCTCGGGGTATCAGGAAGGAATTTTTTTCCCAGCAGGAGCAAATTGGATCATGCTTTGCTGGGTTTATATGCCTTCCTCTGGATCAACTGTGGGTATAGGATTATAATTTTTTTTTTAATTTTTTTTTAATGGTTGAACTGGATGGACTTTTGTCTTTTTTCAAGCAGACTAAGTAACTATGTAAACCGCAAGCTGACGATTTCACATAAATCCTAGTTTATTGAAGCTCACAACCACTGTAACAGTCCCCGCCCATGGGAACTCCCTGCTGATGTGTTTCACCCAAAAGGCCTCAATCATGGAGACAGCCTCTTTTTATGTGCTGGAGCATGGACAGCTCCAGACACCACCTGCACCCAGCACTGAAGACAGGCAGGGGAATTCGGCTTGAGAGCGAGGAGGAAACCAATACACACACAGAATGATAGATTTAGGGTTCATGCACACTGGCTTAAACCCCCCCCCCAAAAAAAAACCGCTGCTTCAACAAGCAGTTTAGCGTTTCGCCTGTAGAAGGAGCTCAATGATATCCTGTGTGTCAATGCATATTAGGAAGTTAAGAGCCATATTTTAAACTTAATGTTTAGAGGCAAACTAAAACCCTTCTGTTTTGAATTTTTGAGAGCAGTTTTCTGGCAATAAAAAAATGCTAAACGTGCCTTGACACTAGCACAAGAAAATGCTCAAAAATTAGCTTTTTTCTGCCAAGAGCTGGCATTTTTTTTTAGGCCAGTGTGCATGGACCCTAAAAGCCCAGCTTCAATTTCCCTGTGTGCACCCCTCTACTTCACCCATTTACGCTACTGAATGGAGAAGCAGGAAGAGATCATGTGAGTACAATTTGGAAGTCAATTTCCAGGTAAATAGGGGTGTGAAAAAAAAAAAAAAAAAAAAAAAAAAAATAAAAAAAAAAAAAAAAAAAAAAAAAAAAAAAAAAAAAAGGTATAGGTAGGAACATGGAAAAGAGGTTAAATGGTTTCTTTTCCAGTTTTGTGCACATCTTTGCCTTAAAGAAGAACTCAGAGATAGGTAAAAAAACAAAACAAAAAAAAACCACACCCATTAGTACACCCCCTACACCAAACTGCTAATAACATTCTGGAAATCCTTACCATTTAGGAGTAAAAGTCTAACTGAATTTTTATTACCTCATCTCTGTAATGCAAAAGATAACAGAATCTGCTCTGCAAAGGAGGAGGTGCAACAGCCGGGATTATATGATATCCTCTCCTCTCTCTCAAGTAAAAGGAAACTACAGTTCCCATCAATCACGGGGAATTGTAGTGACTGTGGGTGGGTACACTAGGCCTGTAATTGATGAATGTGTCTGAGAGTCTCGATCCACCCACCACTGCAGGTGGGGCTGAATCACATCATTGCATCCTGGAGAAAGAACTACAGAAGAGATATGCCAAGACCAGAGGCTGGGGGAATAGGAGGCATAGCAGTCACCGGTCTTACAAGCAAGAAACCAAAGAGAATTAATGGTTTGATCTGAAAATGAATAGGCTATTTCAAAGCAACTACTGAGTGAACCAGAAGATGGATGACAGTCGGTACAGGTGGGAAATCAGCAACAAGGACATGTAAAGAAGTTTTTGCACAGAGTTCTGCTTTAAGTGGGTACACACTATGAAAAAATTTCTTTACGAGGCATGATCGTTCGATTTTGTTATGGTGTGTACACAACTTTCAATATCTGACATTCCAAATGAAAATTTCCATAGGGAAATTATTCTCATACATGAACAGAACAAACAAGTTTTGTTTAATGTGTACTGTTTTCGAACGAGAAAAATCAGATACAAAAGACTGTGCATGATCAGAAAAAAGAAAGAAAAAAAAATTTTCATTTCAACCTGCTGTGAAACATCGAGGATAACTGAATGATCGTTCATCCAATTTCTTATCGCGTGTACTGGGCTTTAGAGCTCTGCTAGATCAGCTTTATGTTGTACACTTTAAGAGTCCATTCACACAGGGTGCAGACGTGTCTCCCATGTTTTCAACACGAAACATGTTGTCACTTTGACACCCGCACGTGATGTAGCGTTTCCATTTTTGTCTAACCCATATATATATATATATTATGAATAAAGGGTAAGCAACATATTCAAGGTGGGGGGGAATTTGTGGGAACTATACATCATATTTTTATCCTGACTTTAACCTGTATATTAAAGCCTTCACCCTCCCTTATTCTACACATTAACCTCCTTATCCCTATACTACCACTATATGTGGCCTGTATATTGAAGGTTACAATTACTTTTGAGGAAAAAACAATAATAAATTGGCATATTTTTGCAAGGAAAAAAAAGTGCAGTTTTTTTTTCTCCCCAGTATCCTGCAAAGCATTGCACTCACAGTCAGTGGGTCTCGGGTGCAATGCCAGGCTTCTGCAGACAAATCCTGCAGCTCTCTCCTGTATTGGTTTCTCTGTTTGAAAGCTGCAGGACTTGTGAAGGGACAACAAGCATGCCAATCAGCATGCTCACAGTCCACTGAAACTACAAGTCCATCTACCATGCCAATTATAAAATGTGACAGCAGCTGCAGGGGAGAGGAACACCCACCCACTGTCACATGGGGATGGGATCAGGGATGAGGGAACATGTTACGCCCCAAATACAAGTGTAAAATGTTTCAACAGGTGAACCATTACCCAGTTCCGTTTTATTCACTTCAGGATGAGCATGTACAGTATCTCACGGAAGTGAGGTCACCCCTCACATTTTTGTAAATATTTGATTCTATCATTTCATGTGACAATACTGAAGAAATTATACTTTGCTACAATGTAATGTAGTGAGTGTACAGCTTGTATAACATGTAAATTTGCTGTCCCCTCAAAATAACTCAACACACATCTATTAATGTCTAAACCGCTGGCAACAAAAGTGAGTACACCCCTAAGGCTGGCCATACATTATACAATTTTCTGTCCAATTTCTGCCCAATTTCCTTTAGATTTACCTTCAACTATGTAGTGCAAGGGCCTGCCTAATTGGATACATTGAAAGCGTTGTTTAGGTTTAACCTCATATTATATGGTTTTTGGTAAATCTAAAGCAACATTTTCAAGAAAATTGTATAATGTATGGTCAGCCTAAGTGACAAGGTCTGAATTTGGCCCAATTAGCCATTTTCCCTCTCCGGTGTCATGTGACTCATTAATATTACAATGTCTCATGTATGAATGGGGAGCAGGTGTGTTGAATTTGGTGTTATCGCTCTCACACTCTCATACTGGTCACTGGAAGTTCAACATGGCACCTCATGGCAAAGAACTCTCTGAGGATCTGAAAAACAGAATTGTTGCTCTACATAAAGATGGCCTAGGCTATAAGAAGATTGGCAAGACCCCTAAAACTCAGCTGCAGCATGGTGGCCAAGACCATACAGCGGTTTAACAGGACAGGTTCCACTCAGAACAGGCTTTGCTATGGTCGACCAAAGAAGTTGAGTGCACGTGCTCAGCGTCATATCCAGAGGTTGTCTTTGGGAAATAGATGCATGAGTGCTGCCAGCATTGCTGCAGAGGTTGAAGGGGTGAGGGGTCAGCCTGTCAGTGCTCAGAACATACACCGCACACTGCATCAAATTGGTCTGCATGGCTGTCATCCCAGAAGGAAGCCTCTTCTGATGGATGTACAAGAAAGCCCACAAACAGTTTGCTGAAGACAAGCAGACTAAGGACATGGATTACTGGAACCATGTCCTATGGTCTGATGACACCAAGATAAACTTATTGGGTTCAGATGGTGTCAAGCGTGTGTGGCAGCAACCAGGTGAGGAGTACAAAAGACAAGTGTGTCTTGCCTACAGTCAAGCATGGTGGCGGGAGTGTCATGGTCTGGGGCTGCATGAGTGCTGCCGGCACTGAGGAGCTACAGTTCATTGAGGGAACCATGAATGCCAACATACAGTCAGGTCCATAAATATTGGGACATCGACACAATTCTAAAATTTTTGGCTCTATACACCACCAAATTGGATTTGAAATGAAACAAACAAGATGTGCTTTAACTGCAGACTGTCAGCTTTAATTTGAGGGTATTTACATCCAAATCAGGTGAACGGTGTAGGAATTACAACAGCTTGCATATGTGCCTCCCACTTGTTAAGGGGCCAAAAGTAATGGGACAGAATAATAATCATAAATCAAACTTTCACTTTTTAATACTTGGTTGCAAATCTTTTGCAGTCAATTACAGCCTGAAGTCTGGAACGCATAGACATCACCAGACGCTGGGTTTCATCCCTGGTGATGCTCTGCCAGGCCTCTACTGCAACTGTCTTCAGTTCCTGCTTGTTCTTGGGGCATTTTCCCTTCAGTTTTGTCTTCCGCAAGTGAAATGCATGCTCAATCGGATTCAGGTCAGGTGATTGACTTGGCCATTGCATAACTTTCCACTTCTTTCCCTTAAAAAACTCTGTGGTTGCTTTTGCAGTATGCTTTGGGTCATTATCCATCTGCACTGTGAAGCGGCGTCCAATGAGTTCTGAAGCATTTGGCTGAATATGAGCAGATAATATTCCCCAAAACACTTTTGTCAGCAGTCACATCATCAATAAATACAAGAGAACCAGTTCCATTGGCAGCCATACATGCCCACGCCATGACACTACCACCACCATGCTTCACTGATGAGGTGGTATGCTTAGGATCATGAGCAGTTCCTTTCCTTCTCCATACTCTTCTCTTCCCATCACTCTGGTACAAGTTGATCTTGGTCTCATCTGTCCATAGGATATTGTTCCAGAACTGTGAAGGCTTTTTTACATGTCGTTTGGCAAACGCTAATCTGGCCTTCCTGTTTTTGAGGCTCACCAATGGTTTACATCTTGTGGTGAACCCTCTGTATTCACTCTGGTGAAGTCTTCTTTTGATTGTTGACTTTGACACACATACACCTACCTCCTGGAGAGTGTTCTTGATCTGGCCAACTGTTGTGAAGGGTGTTTTCTTCACCAGGGAAAGAATTCTTCGGTCATCCACCACAGTTCTTTTCCGTGGTCTTCCGGGTCTTTTGGTGTTGCTTAGCTCACCGGTGCATTCCTTCTTTTTAAGAATGTTCCAAACAGTTGTTTTGGCCACGCCTAATGTTTTTGCTATATCTCTGATGGGTTTGTTTTGTTTTTTCAGCCTAATGATGACTTGCTTCACTGATCGTGACAGCTCTTTGGATCTCATCTTGAGAGTTGACAGCAACAGATTCCAAATGCAAATAGCACACTTGAAATGAACTCTGGACCTTTTATCTGCTCATTGTAATTGGGATAATGAGGGAATAACACACACCTGGCCATGGAACAGCTGAGAAGCCAATTGTCCCATTACATTTGGTCTCTTAACAAGTGGGAGGCACATATGCAAACTGTTGTAATTCCTACACCGTTCACCTGATTTGGATGTAAATACCCTCAAATTAAAGCTGACAGTCTGCAGTTAAAGCACATCTTGTTCTTTTCATTTCAAATCCATTGTGGTGGTGTATAGAGCCAAAAATGTTAGAATTGTGTCGATGTCCCAATATTTATGGACCTGACTGTATACTGTGACATATTGAAGCAGACCATGATCCCCTCCCTTTGGAGACTGGGCCGCAGGGCAGTATTCCAACATGAGAACGACCCCAAAACACACCTCCAAGACGACCACTGCCTTGCTAAAGCAGCTGAGGGTAAAGGTGATGGACTGGCCAAGCATGTCTCCAGACCTAAACACTATTGAGCATCTGTGGGGCATCCTCAAACGGAAGGTGGAGGAGCGCAAGGTCTCTAACATCCACCAGCTCCGTGATGTCATCATGGAGGAGTGGAAGAAGATTCCAGTGGCAACCTGTGAAGCTCTGGTGAACTCCATGACCAAGAGGGTTAATACAGTGCTGAAAAATAATGGTGACCACAAAAAAATACTGACACTTAACACAATTTTCACATAGGGGTGTACTCATTTTTGTTGCCAGTGGTTTATACATTAATGGCTGTGTGTTGAGTTATTTTGAGGGGACAGCAAATTTCCACTGTTTTACAAGCTGTACACTCACTACATCACATTGTAGCAAAGTGTCATTTCTTCAGTGTTGTCACATGAAAAGATAGAATAACATTTACAAATATGTGAGGGGTGTACTCACTTCTGTGAGATACTGTACATTGTCACAAAAATGTGGCAAAAAAGAGATCATTCTGGGGTGTCTACCTTCCTGGGACAATTTTGAGGGTTTTGTACTGTTCTGGAATTTTAATTTGATATGATTTATAAACAGAAAGGAAAAGTTTTTATTTCAAAAAGTTTGGCCTTTTTTTATATAGCAAGAAAATTATATAAAATTAATTTTGGTATAGTGTTGGAATTTTCAAACAAAGCACTGAAAAATGGCCTGGTAATGAAGGAGTCTATCTAGGCTAGTACCAAAGTGGTAAAAATGCTACCAGTATATAAATAAGGGGGAAAATACATTACGACAGCCTAATTACATGTATAAAAAAATACATAAAAATAAAGCTGTATTTTGTGAAGGTAAATATTTTATTGGTTTGATGTGAAACAACCAACTTTCTGCTCACCAAGGTAAAGCCTACTTCGCATCCACAATATGTAGGCACTTCCCCTATACTATGAGATCCCTGAACCTTTGCACCAGTAACATCCAAGTGTAGCTTTTCACTTAACCATAAATGCACCCATATTTGCAATTCGGGAAAAAAAAATTACACCCTCATTTGCATTATTATTTTTGCATATGAGCCTACAAAGCAATACAACCTCATTAATTTGGTGCAATTCACAGGCTCTTGAAGATTCTGTCTCCAGCTTCATGTCCATATCAAGGTTATGGAGCTGGAGTGAGTATCATTGGAATACAAGTTCCACTGACATTGTGGAAGAAGGGATTTGTAGTTTATTACATTACACATCAGACAGCTGTGCAAAATTCAAGAGTGACAACGGCCACTGGGAAGTAGAACTCTCAGACACTTTGGGGGGGAATAGCAGTTTGGTAACATGTTACTTCTTAGATATGGGTGGAACATGGTCTAAAAAGTGGACTTCGCTTTTAAGAAAATGTTTTTTTTTTTTTTTCTGTTTTTTCAAACATAAAACTAAACATAAACTAAAATATGCTATTCATGTGGTATAAACAAATGCGCCGATACGCCAGAAACACGTCATGAGAAAAAAATGGCACGCTGCCAATGCAAAGCTTCTCTCAAGAAAATACTAGTGGTCTGGACACCAAACGAGCTCTGTGACTTCAATAATTTGAGTCACTGGCCCTGAACAGACATTTAGATAGAGACTTCTGAGGTTCCTGATCAGCATACTTTTTCTGGGTTAGTCGCAAGTTCACCTTTCTCTAATGCCATGCCCAATAACTTGAATGGGGCCATATACAAAAAATAGCCTCATTATTAAGGCCTTGAATAACAAGACAATAATAATGAGTGTATATGTTTGCAAAGGAGTGCTGAGCACATCTCATTCCCCGTACACAGGATGAGAAAATCGGATGAAAAATCCTGCCTTTGAAGCAACCGTCCAATAATGTGATTGTTAGTACACAGATTTCAAGAGCTGATCGCAACAGTGTCCGAAGCGACATACGCAATATCTTTTCTCAATACCAAAACGAACGATTTTTGTTTAATCAGCACAGTATTCATTCGGAATTGAAAGAATACATTACAAAACTTCCGAAGTTGCGTTCTGTCATACAAGAACTTTTGTAACTTTAGTAAACTCTTCATATGAGACTAGCATGTAATAAAAAATGTACGATCATTCGTACCATAATCTCATCGTGTCTACGAGGCTTCAGGAAAGGAGTGCTGGTGATGTTTACTGTGATTTACATGGCATCATCCGCTGCAGTCACTATGAGCACCCATCTATTACCAAGGTCGAAAACTGCAAGGAGTGGGGTCCTCATCCTTTGATTTTGATATAAAGCCCCATTCAAGTCTATAGGCCAGCACCAAAGCTGGCAAAAGATGTAAACAGCAGAGTAGGTCATGCCTATGATACACAGGTAAGTGGGAAAGCTGGGTTGGAGGGTAAGTGCACTTTAGTTTAGGAGAGATGGGGTGATGGTTAGCAATAGAGGAGACGATGCAGCTATCATTTAAACCTAGGGGCTCAGAGTAACAGCCAGGATACTAGCATATTCAATTTAGCTATGGCAGCCCCCATACATCTCTAATAACAGGCTTGTATCAGATCAATATATAGGCAATACAGCTCAAAACCCAATTTGTTTGCACACAGCCACCAATACAGTAGAGCCCCCCTATAGTGAAGGTGTCAATCTGACAAGTTTATGTTGCACAGCTCTAACTGAAGCCAGCCATACATGGATCAAAAATTTGTCTGCTTCAGCAAGGACTGGCTGAATTTCAATCTATGTATGGGCATGGAGGTTGTACAGAAGTCAATCTACTGATCGACTTCTGTACAAACGTTCTTTCGGCCCTGCTCGGTCAGCGCTGCAAACTACAGTTGGCAGCACTAACCTGTGTATTCTGATGGCAGGTGAGTATCCCCACCATCAGAATACAATCAGTCAGCAGGAAGGATTCCCACATCCACCTGGAATGGGTGGGTAAG